ATATGTTTACACAACTCTGCTGTTTTTTTATTGAAAAAAACAAAAAAACTTGAATAATTTCCATAAAATAATGTCAAAGAGTATATGCTTATAAATATTTTTAGGACCTGAGATGGGTCAATGACTGCAGTGCACCAGCATCAACAGCCTGTGAGCTCCATTCATCGAACGCAGACAAAATAACATGAAAATAAAAAACGTTATGGAACCTCTAAGGGTTAAATACAGGCAAATGATAAACAGACAGTGATCTCACCTTTCTTGGGTTTCTTCACCGGGACGGCGTACTGCTCCTCTTCCTCTGAGGAGGAGGAGGAGGACTCGTGGGCTTTGGGAGCGCAGCCTTCGTCCCTCAGATGTTTGGTCACATCGTCGATGTCCTCCGTGTCTTTGGGAGGACGGTAGTCTTTAACGTGATCCACGCGGATCGTCCGACCTTTAATCTGACAGCAAACACAACAGACTCAGCTTCAGTCAGTGAGACAGCGCCGCTACCTGTCTGCCCCTCTGAGGTCACACTGTGGACATGTGACGGCCTTTAGCTCGTGTTTTTGTTAAAATGTGATATTTCTTAAAGGGAGTTTGGTGCAGGGAATTTAAACGGATAATATGTTTTATTTTTAACGTTTTGTCACCACCACACAACCAGCGAGGTCACTGTAGAAGAGTGATGTTGTCTGACACTGACAGCTGTACTTATTAGGTTGATTAAAGCTTTAATGAGGTGTTCATTTCAGCTTCTTTCACTCTGTAAATGTTGCTTTTAATCTACTTTCCTGACTAGTGATTAAAGACTGCTTCGGGACAGATGTTGCAGGGTGGACAGCACACACTTTGCACACACTTTGCACACACTTTGCAGCTGTGACACTTGATGAATGTTGTTTCCAGTGAGTCCTGATCTGCCATAAATGAACCAATAAAAGCACAATGACTTTATCCCACAGGCTTAAAGAGAGCCAGCACAGGAGCGGGCACGTAAACGCCCCACCAGCACACGTCTCCCTTTATATTCACACTTCCCGACCCACTTTAAAGTTTCCTCACTGACTTTTTTTTTTGAAGTTTTCGGCAAACTGGTGTTTTAGCCACCTAGCATCCAGGTTAGCCTCCAAAAGCTCATCTGCTGCTACTTGTGCCGAAAGCTGCGCCAACTGGACTCCACCTGCTCGTGTTTGACCCGACACACAACCACACACACTTTGTCCGTTTGTATCCACACACACACTGTTCTTTACGACTTCAGGAAAGAGGACAGACAGCTCCCCAGCTAGCGTCTGTTAGCATGAATGGGAAAAAGTAGCAGCCAGCTTTAAGCCGACGGAGCGTCAACGGGGAGGCAACTTTAAAAGCATTAAAAGTAACTCACCCGACGGCTCCTCTCGCTGTGCGGTGACTTTGGCAGTGAGTTGAAGCTCCGGTGTATTCCAGGTGATGTGAGTGAAGCAGTGTCTCCCCCCCTCAGAGAGCAGAGACCGCAGACAGCGACGGCAGCTGGAAACTCTGCCCCGAAAATACAACAACAATATGGCAGCGGAGCGCCGCGCTGCGTTCAGGGCGCTGTGGGCAGCTCGGGAAATGTGACAATCCTAGGAGCTAGGCTTTTTAATGGGACCCCTTCTCTGGCATTGTACGGAAGCCGAGAACTACGACGGAGTATTGGGGCCAGACTAAGAGAAGAATATATATTTATATTTTTGGAAATTACGAGAATAAAGTCGTAATATTAAGAGAATAAAGTCATAATATTACGAGAATAAAGTCATAATATTAAGAGAATAAAGTCATAATATTAAGAGAA